GGGGGGCGGGAATGGGGCGCGTGGCGGGGGCTCGCCTGATGACATCACAGCCGGGCTGCGGCAGCGCGGGCGCGCGGACATGGCTGCAGCGGCGGCGGCCGCGGGCTGCGCTCGGGCCTGAGCGCCCAGCGCCCTCCTGTGGGGCCGCCCGCCAGTCCGCGCCGTCCGAGAGTGCACCAGCCAGGGGCCTCGAAGCTCCCGGTCGCTTGGGGCCTCCGCCTGTCCAGCCTCCCTTGGCCTAATTGCAGGGAGCCTGGCGTCAGGGGGCGCCAAGGAGCCAGGGGGAAAACCGTAAGGCGCGGAGGGAGCCTCCAGGCGGTGCTGCCCCCTACCCTCCCGTCTTCCCGCTCCCCGCCCCGATGTTGGGGCTTTGGAAGATGCTGCCGGGTGAGCTATTGCTTGCGGGAGGGAGGGTTCCTCGCACGCTCAAACGTGAACACCGGGAAGGGCCTTCCCTGGGAATTGGGGTCCTCCAAGAACGGGAGGCCCACCTGTCTCCAACCCCTTCTACCTGGGAGCGCTCCCCAGTTGGACGCTCCGATCCGCAGACGTGAACTGTTCCACCACCCAAACTTGGTGCAATTTCCGCAACCGAGAAATGGGCACTGTAGAGCCTCTTGGTATCCTTGCGTTTACCGTAAAATCTGGCTCATTTAATGCATTTGCAAGGGAGGGGCAATTTCAGATTTAGGCAACTGGCAGATGAAAGAAGTTGGGATTGGCTGGTAAATATTTGGAAGAGAAATTTTTTAGGGAATGTGAAGAAATAATGATCTGTCACACAAAATGCACACATTACCTCTTCTCTCCCTCTTGCCCCTCCCATTTCTTCATAACCAACAAAAAGTATATTGTAGTTGGTGGCTGGGAGAGATTTTTCGGTGGGCGCTGATGCAGTGCCAACGCGGAAGGTATGGCGGGTGTGCTGCACTGCGCCTTCCCGTGCACGGCCACCGCCACCCGGCCAGAAAGCCTCCGCTGCTGCCGCAGTCTGCGGCATCTCGCTGCCCTGGCCCGCCGGCAGGCCGGGTGCGGTACCCCGCGCGCCTTTGGCTGCTCCCAAGGCAGTGCTGTGTGGAGCTGGGTTTTGTTTGTTTTATTTACCTGCATAAGGAAACAGTGATTATAATGGCAAGGTAACACATTACTGCATGTGTGGTGTTTCTAATAATTGCTAAGGTGGACTCTTCGGAATATTTAAGAGACTGAAGGAATTGTGTCATAAAAAAGTAATTTGTAAAATTCTGAAAAGCCAAGAATCCATGACAATGCTTAGGTTTTGTTATTTGCTTGAAGGATCTCAATATCGCTGTTTCCTAATGATACAAAATCAATTGTACATCTCTGCCTAAAAGCTTAACCATTGATGTTCTTTTCCATTTTAACATATTACCATGTGTAAGCATTAAAGGGAACTCAAAAAGGCATTGCCTAATGCATGTCTTAAATGCCAGATTCATAAACGTGGGAAACAATGGATGAAGTTTTTTTTACTTACAACTTGTTTCCAAAAACAAAATGAACATTCAAGTTGTTGATATACTGCATCTCAGTTGGGGGTTGCAGGACCTCGCTTGCAGAGGCTGTGTAAGGTGGGGATGTTGAATGTCAGAGTGTAGGCTGCACAAGTCCAGAGAGGCTTCCTGGGACGCCGGCTGACAGGTAGCACTGCATCGTGTGCACTTTTCTGAAAGGTTTCTTGATACTGCAGCCCACTGCAGTGAGAGACTGCATTCCTGCCCATTGTGTAGGGGTTCCTGAAGAGAATCCCGAGAGCCGGAAATGTGTGGCACATCAGGAAAGGAAGAATTCTTTACTGTATGGACTCACAATGGCCTAGTGGAGTAATTTAAAACAACAAAGCTGAATTAACTTTCTGCAAACATTGGGAGACACAGCTGAGAATTTAGGAAGGTCATCTTTACTTTATACTTCTCAGTAGCGAAAATCCGTGAGTCATCTGAAATGGCCTAAATATCTTTGAAACACGTCTAAGACCACAGACACAGCACACTAACCAGTTTGCCCGAGACTCTGCGCTTTTACAACAAAAAGCAACTAAATAGCAATTATGGTTTTCTGAGCTATTACTTTAGCACAATTGTTATCATCCTGAGTCTCGCTGCAGCCATTTATAAGTTTCACATGCACACAAGAACATCATTTATCTCTTTTGGCAGGCAAATGCTTAACTGCCGTGCGGTAGGATTATAGATATTTCTTTTTAGATGCATTCATTTCTGTTCTTTCCGTTTGTTACCTCAAGGATACTAATAATAAGCAAACCAAATCATTAAAATAATTTAGTATTCAGGTTCTATTGTTATTTTCTGATTTGTTTGTTGCTAATTTATCACTTCCTTCTCCAAATAACGTCATGTTATTAATTGCTTCTTTCTGTGTGTTTCTGTGATTCCTGGTGCATTGTGGAATTCAATAAATATTGAATCAACTAATCAATCCTTTTTGGAAGTTAATTTAGTAGAAGTCATACCTTTTCTTTCTGCCAGGTTTTCATTTTAAAAGAATAATTGACATTTTATTGAAGTCATAAAAATTTAATGTTTTGGGATAGAGATGCAAGAGGAAGGCTTTTGACCAAATCTTTCATCCCAAGAAATGAAAAATCAAAATGGAAAAGTATATATAATTTTTTGACTTTTTTTTGATATTGAGTTAGCACTATCACCCAAGAGAAGACGGTGAGTTGGGGAAAATAACAGAGAGTTTCACACCAGGTGTGTAGAAGATGATCTATTGAGAACACACACAAGGAACCAAAAGGAAATTAAAATATTAACTTTATTGAGGGTAAAGTCAGACTGAAGAACATGGCTTAGACCCAAGGCCAAAATGGAGCATCTTACTCCTTTTCCCCTGACTCAGCATGCCCCACCCCCTCAGTCATAGCTGAAGAACTATAGTTGACCCTTTAATAACACAGGTTTGAACTGTGAGGGTCCACTTATACCTGAAATTTAAAAAAAATAAATACTGAAAATGTATTTTATCTTATGATTTTCTTAGTAACATTTTCATCTCTTTAGCTTACTTTACTGTAAGAATGCAGTATATAATACATATAACATACAAAATATGAGTTAATAAACTGTTTATGTTATTGGTAAGGCTTCCAGTCAACAGTAGGCTATTTGCAATTAAGTTTGGGGGGATTTGAAAGTTATAAGCAGATTTTCAATCGTCAGCTCCCTTAACCCCCACGTTGTTCAGGTGTCAAATGTATAGTGCTTCCCAGCACTAGAGCAGGAACCACCCTACTTGTACTCCTTACCTGAAGACCAGAGGCTGAGAGGAGCCTGACACTCCAATCCACAAGGCATTCTGCATGAGTGAGCAAGAGATAGGACCATTAGTAGCTAGCAGGCCTTCCCCAATTTTTCTCATCAAAGAGTCATTCCACCTCCCAAAGGTAAGAGTAAGGGGCTTTAATAAGATGGCAGATGTATCTGCAGGACTTCCCTAGAAGTAGGAAATTGTGGCACAAACACCAAACTTATGGATCAGGAAGAAGAAAAGTTTCCACCCTAAGCTGTGTAATGACCAACTGAGAAAAAGGAGGGGTGGTGGTAAATATGACAAGTTTTGAGCTAGGGTGGAGGAAGAGTTTTGAAGGGGGAGATGACAAACTTTGTTTTAGACCCATTGAGGTAGAGGGTGTCAGAAGAAGATCCATGTGAAATTATGCAGTAAGCTCATGTGGGTGGAGAGGTCAGAACCAGAGACAGACAGGAGTCATCAACAGAAATTATAGTGAAGTCATGGAAATGGATGAAATGACTAAGGAAGAGAAACTAGAAAGAATTGGAATCAGAACTTTGGAGACTGCTGCTTCCATTTGTGGACTGGAGAAAGAGAGCAGAAGGCAAGACCATGGAGGCCAAGTGGAGGGGGGGTTCCAGTTTAGTGGCTAACTGGAACAGTTGCACACGTGGGAGGTTAAGGAGGATGAGGACTGCGGGCTGGTGACTAGGAGACCTCCAAAAACCTTCCAGAGAACTGACTCATTATAGTGGGAGAGGCTAAAACCAGACTAATGGGTAGAAGAGGGGGAGGTAGGTGAACAGAGGAGAGCTGCTGTCCACAATCTTTGGAGAAATTTAACTCTAAAAGGGCTGAGTAGAAATGCAATTAAAGCCTGGATAAAGGCTAATAAAGATCCCTTTGTCAGACAAGAGTTCCTGAACAAGCTTCTAGGGGCGTGGACACAGCAGTAGGAGAGAAACTGAGAGATGGAGAGAAATTGAGAGGAAAAGAGAGAGGAGAAGAGGGCATTCCCCTGGGCATTTGTGGGTTAGCTATTTGTTTTAACAAACCTCGAGTCCCCCAGACTGGTTCTTTCTGCTCCCAGGCTACTTTGGACTCTGCAGAATTAAAATTGTCTCTGACTAGTTATGATGGATCCCTGCCCATGGTCTCCTCCCCATCTGCCCTGGCTACTGATAGACACAGGGGTGGGGAACGTCCGGCCTGAGGTTGTTATAAGACCCATGAAATCATTTGGTCTGGCCCTGCCGAGGCATTAGGGGTGAGTTAATTAAATGTTTGACCAAATAGAACAGGCTAATTTTTCAGTTGATAATTTTGTATGGCACTCAAATGATGTTATAAACATCCAAATGGCCCTTGGCAGAAAAAAGGTTCCCCACCCCTGGCACTAGAAGAATGATTTTGAAGGAAAGATAAGGAATACCTTGGAATATAATCCAGATTGTCTGTAAGCTTTGATTACAAACCTATATGGAAGTGAGTAAATTACCCAACTGGTAATCACACAAGGGCATTACATTGAAATGTCACCTCCTCAAAAAAGGAAGTTTATGTACAAATGACTCTAGCAATAAATTATTAGAAGTAAATCATACTGATTTGGGGCTGGTAATCTACTTGTTCCTAGGTGAAGTTTTTTACTCTCAGAATTAAGTGATATGAAAGAAATTAAGAAGAATCTGAAGAAACGTGTTATATGGCCTGTTTATTTCCAAATGGTTTTTCATGACATACATGTTATTATATTGAAAGGAAAAGAAACTACGTTATTTGGAAGAACCCACATTGTCTAATGTACCCTTGGAGGTGATTCTTTTCAACCACCAGAATCAGGAAAGGCATCATGTAGATGGATCACTATTTTCTTTTTAAAATTTGAATTTTTGAAGGAAAAACAATTGTTATTTGCAGTAATACCAAATATTATTTTCAGCAAATATTTCTTGGGAAGGTTCTTTTTATTCATTTTACCATAATGAAAACCTTAAAAATAATTTAAAGACATCATTGTAAGGGAAAATATTTCAAATGGAATCATCCCAAATTGTTCTTTTAACATTTTAGAAATTTTAGAGCCTAACTTAGGATTGTTGTCCTTT